AAGTATAAATATTCGAAAACTTCATCGTAAGTTCTTTATCCATTCAACAACAGAAGTGGATGTGCTACAGCTACAATTTCTCGAAATGGCCAGAAGTGAACGTTCGCAAATTGCACACCAGTTCTCAACCGACCTGTGGTTCCGCAAGGATGCCAGGATATATTTCGATAAGAACGTTACCATGATCCACGGCTTCTGGTCTCAGTTTAGAATTAACACGGATGTGGATGAGAGCATAAATGTCCCTGTCGTAATGCAACTACTACGGGCTACCGACGAAGCCACCATGGACGAGAGCAGCCCTTACTGGCAACGTCGGCTTGCCTACTTGCAGCTCCACCGCAGCCTCCAGGTGCTCAAGCGGATCGTTGAACGGCAGAGGCGACGGAGGCAGATCGATCGCTCCCGTGGTAAGGGAAACTCGTCCATTGTTCTCGAGATCTACTCAAGCGCCTTGCATGGAAAAATGGGGAATTACGCCGCCCATCAAATGCGGCTTGCCAAACGTTGGTCGTTGTCTCTTCGAGAGTCGCTCTTCCTAGCAGTTGCATACTCGGATTTCGCCGGAGCCAGAATGTGCGCAATAACTATATTCTATGTCCCTCTAACACAGTGAAGAAAGCGCTGACCACTCCTATCCAGCAAGAACTTTTCTACAACGCAGGATAACCTGTCCGTCATATCGAAATTGGCAATACAGACAGTGCGCCACCAGCATGGCGATCATGTGGTCTTCCCGATCTAGCCCGTGGCCTGCTGTTCAGTCACTGAACAGGTAGTCATTGCCTGCAGCGGAGGGGCGGTCTGGCCTAACTATAGGCGCAGCTCGCCAACGCGAAACCTAAATGGGGCGCCGACGATGCATGAAATCCAGACACTAGTTCGCTCTGCACCTTGCTGTGACCTGCTTTTTAAGTTATTATTCCTAGCAAAATTTCAATTGATAGCTCGCGTCTTCAATAAACATAATATGGCATATAGCAGGTTTCCATTGTGACGATGTTTAGTAGTTTCTATCCCTGCAGTAAGCCATGGTCTGATACACTCTCAAAAAGCACAACTATAACGAAACTGCGGTGTCATCAAACGCGATGTTGGGATATGTCTCTAGTCTCGCTGCCACGAGCTCGACAAGAGAGCTCCGGACAAATCGCAATCGCCCAATTCCACAATTCCAAAAGAGCTACCTACTTTATCGGTAATATTTTAATTCCCTGTCTGTCTGCCTCATATATTATTATAACTTACTGTACCAAATAAATATCCTCCATCCAAGTAAGTTAGACAGAGGTGTCAAATTTGATGGCTGTGGGATGGCCAATTAAAATTAGCGCCGGTTAAAATAAATGTCAGCATACTGAGATATAAACGGCCTGCGCCGCGTTTGGGAAGCGCTGCCATGCATTTAGCCTTCTGTTACAATCAGATCAAAATGTTGAAGCGCAAGCCTATTCCGCGTTACCGCGGTCTACCACATGCGGAAGATGAGCAGTCCTATGAGTAAGTGCTTCGGACTGTGGGCGTAGACATGCATACTTATTAATATGGCACAACAGGCTTCTAAAGTCAGGGCTTTGCTCTGTAGCAATGAGTGGCAATAACGAGATGGGCTTCGTTGTTCCATTGCCACTACTGTCTCTCGTGTCTGGCCACCTGGCTAGTTTGGCTAAGAGAGTTCCCAGTCCTACGCACAGCTTGGTGACTTTAGAAGCTTCTGACGGAGGAACGCTGCTGGCAGCTGCTGGATTATTCATCTTTAAAGATGCAGAGCGCTTGGGGAACGGATGACGAGATATTAGCATATATTACTATTTAAATCATAAAGCGCGAATAGGTTGTTCCATGACTTCAGCGGCGCGAACGAGTCAGCCGTGCCTGTAGGCGAAGGCGGTGGCTTCACGACTATCGAGCGGACGGGCGAAAAGGACAGACCCTTCTCTTCGGTTGGAATCCACATTAGGCTGGAGTCAGAAATTGGAACTCGGCAGCAACATTCCAACAATTCCTGCTGCTCCCGCACAGTCTGTCGGGACTGACCCAACTTGGCCAAGTCTTCCTGGGCATCTTGTAGAAGCTTTCGAGTCTCTGAGCGAAGTTTGGGAAATGCCTTGTCTCCAAGTTCGCCCATAAGATGCATGCGCTGGCGGAGAGCCACGACTCCGATTCTTTCTGGAGGAAGAGTGCGCCAAGGCTCCTCCTTAAACAACGTGTCCCTCTCGTCGTCGCTGAATGCATTGC